TCACACCACTGGTCCTGAAGGGATCATCCTCCCTGGATTCCCTGGATTTCTAGTTCCTATCTGTACCAGCTGACACTTAATTATTAATCTTCCTTGAATTGAACTGTGCTCACTCATTAAGAAAACATGTCATCCCAACCATCTTTGGTGGAATTATGTTTAGTGCTTTATTTTTTTTTAAATGTAGATACAGTGATACCTCGGTTGTCCAACAGCTCCCAACTCGAACCTTCCACTACTTGAGCAGCAAAGTTCAAAAAAATCTGCTCAGTGTTCCTAACTTTGCTCGAAGAAAGCTGGCCGGGCGGACAGTGAGTCATGAACCGCCTCCCTCCATGGACACAACGGGATGACGCTTCAGTCTGACTGCTGCTCTCTCACTCCGACACCGCGCGCGCGGGGGGGCTTGTGTTGGTGCACTGAGACGTTCCTCACTTTGCCTTTCTTTTTGTTTGTACTTTCTTTGCGTAAAATATCATAACCATGGCTCCTCAAAAGTTAGTGATACCAGCAGTGAAGCTAAGAGGAAAACTATGAGGCCCACAATAGAGTTTAAAGAACGCATTGTGAATTAATAATCCAGTTGCCACTTGTCTGATTTGATGGTTGAATAATTGGCTAAGTCTACATTATCAACATTTTGGGGGAAAAAAATGATTAAAGTGTGTAATGTAGCAACAGGTGTAAAGTTGTCAACCATGAAAAAAGCCAGACCCACAAAGAGGTTGAAAAGTTACTCTTAGTTTGGAGAAATCAGAAACAACTCACTGTAGTGAGAGTGTATCCGAGATGATGATTTGTGAGAGGGCCAAAAGCCTCCATAGTGAATTCTTAAGTGTAATTCTGGGGCCTCAGAACCAGGTATTTGGTTTTCCATGATTTCTTATGGGAAAAGTATGTTCAATTCTTGAAATGTTTCGCTGTTGGGACACAAATTTGGGAGGAATTGAGTTTGATAACGGAGGTATCACTTTATCGCCAGAATATGTTCTTTTCTTTTGTAACGCTAAGAGGATGATTTTTTAAACTTATTTTCAAAACTTTTCATTGTGATATGAGTGGAGGTTTATAGCACAAATTGGCTTTCCTGGTAACAATTCACACACATTATGTTTTGAGATATTGATTGCAATCTCCACAAAGCAACAACAGCACTCTGCCTGCCTTCTCCTGGGCTTCCGTGCCATATCCATTTGTCCTTCCCTATCTCTACCAGCCTTCTTATCTTAATTCCAGGTCGAAAGCTCCCAGTGATTCATAGTTTTATTCACGAGCAAGATGAACAATATTGAGTGATAGTGCTCCTGTTTAATTTATAAGCTTGCCTATTGTTTGACAGAAAAGGCATCAGGGGCTCCCCCCACCCCCCCAGTTCTCTCAGACAAGTAAACCTGGTTGTTTATGCTCTTGAGTTTTACCCCACAGTTTCCTCCCACTCTATCCAGGATCTTCCACTGCGATCCTTTTCAGAGGGGTTGATTTAATACTGGTAGCCAGGCACATCTAATTTTTTGGTCACAGGGCCAAAAGGCTGAAGTTTGCACAATCCATTAGTCCTTTGGACTGCTTGTTCCTACATATCTTTAATTTTCCTTACTCCTCTTTGCTTTGACTGGAAAGAGAGACCAATAATTACACCTCAGATGGTTGCTCACTCACTCCTTTTTAAGACCCTAATCACCATTAACCACAGGACGCTGTTGGGCAGTTTCTCTGTGAGCTAAGCCATGCCACTTGAATGAGCTGTCCCTTGAGACTGCGGTCCTAAGCCCCTTAACGTAGTGACTTATGACTTCAGGGTATTGGGTTATGGCTACTAAGGTTTCATGCTTTGCCCCTGTTTGCTCTATTCTACCTTATTTATGGATACTTAAAGCCAGTGGTGAGATTCAAGAATTTTAACCGGCTCACTGCCCTAAAGACCATTATAAGTATAAAAAAAGATGTTACAAAAGGTCGTTTATTATTTCATACAGTTAGTAGTTACATAAGAACAATAAAAGAAGTACACAAACCAGGTGATGTTATAAGAAAGAGCTTTAAAATATTAAATAATACCTGATCCAAAACAACAAAACTGATAAGATATTTCCATATTGCTTCTTGATTGGCATCCTCCCTTGCAATCTTCGTTTTTATGTGGGCATCATAGGTTTTGTGATTTATCCTTAATCATCTTTGCACTGTTGGCATAGGATCCCATTCCTTTACAGGAAAGCCAATTAGGCAATAGTCTTGTGTTTGATAGAACATATTATGTTCATCTTTCAAAAACCCCTTTCTGCTTCTGCTGAACTTAGAGGAATTGTTCTGACAATATCTTTAGCTCTTTGAGCACTTTCAGAAATTGCAGAGTTCACTCATAATATCTTGTGGGGGGTTGGGGCAAAACACAAAGTTGAGACAAATGAAAGCGTGTCACCCTTTGGTTGTTTGACACTTTTTCTCTATGCACTATGTTTGTTTACTGAAGTAACCAAAACAAGGGAATATAACAAGTTTAATTAAATGAATAAATTAATATAATAAGCATCATTCCATCTACTTTTTATAACAATGGACAGGGCTATAAACATTACTGCAGATGCATAGAATACGCTGTGGCACAGATGAGCATTAAAAAAAGAGTAAGAAATATACATTTGTATGTTCACATGGGGTGGCTTCCCAGTCATCCACCTTAGAGAGAATCCTGATTACACATGCTATTGAAGAACTGGTTCGCCCAACTCAACAAAAAAATAAGAATCTGTTCTGCCAAACTGGTCCAAACCAACCGGATACCACCTCTGCTCACAGCACATACCAGAGATGTAAGGCCTGATATAGATTCCAAAGAAGTTTCTCGTGTCCTGGCTAAATCCTTTTTTATAGTACTTTTGTCATGAACAGGAGAAAGATGAGGGAATCCTATCCTGTCCTACAGGGACACTGTGAGTCCAATCAACTCAATGGCAGTAAGTTTAGATTTTATGTCATAGACACCATAATTAAATGTGTGTGTGTGTGTGTGTGTGTGTGTGTGTGTAGAGGAGGTGATGGTGAGTTTTAAAAAAATGGCTGCTGAGTCAATTCTGACTCATAGTGACCCTATAGGATAGAATAGAACTGCTCTATAGGGTTTCTGAGACGGCAAGTCTTTATGGGAGCAGGCAGCCTAATATTTCTCCTGCAGAGCAGCTCATGGCTTTGAACCACTAACCTGGTGGTTAGCGTGCCACCAGTGCGCCTTACTGAGTTTTAGTCATTACTTAGTAGGCTTCCCAAGCTAGGTACATTTCACTTCCACCCATATTTTCCTTGCTTAATGAGCTTTGAATAGCTTTCACACTCTTTCTACTTGCTTATTAAGGTCATAACTTTAATGTTATTCAATAATGGACATTTAACTGTACTTGACGTATTTATCTGACATCTTATTGGAGTTCGACAAGTAACTGCATTTAAAGTTTTTAATCAATCTATAATTGGAATGTATGTACTCACAATTGTGTCCACCTTTCTAATATAGTTTCTAAGAGTGTCTAGTCAAGTGAGATGGGTTGTTGACAGGAAATAGAGAGATTTATTGCCTAGAAGTTTAAAATGGACTTGTTTTACGTATATTACGATCTCGCGCTTATAGTCTCTTTATCTGAACTATTAACTTACTGCTGCTGCTTCCTTTTTTTGCTTCCTGCAGAAAGGCGGGAACTCTCCAGATGGATACCTTTACCGTCTCCGTTTCTGTTCCAATGTCACCAACCACCAACGGCCAACTGGGGACAGCCTGCAAGGCGTGCCCTGGGGGCGCTGTGCTGAGTTTTCACAACATATGCTACCGCGTGAAAGTGAAGAGCGGCTTTGTATGCGCTCGCAAAGTGGTGGAGAAAGAAATCCTGAAGGATATCAAGTATGTGCACCAACTTTCCTCCAAAACAGCTTTGCTGACATATTATACACTTCACAGGCTCTGCTTGTTACAAATAAAGCTACTCTGTGTTTGACAAGTCTTTGCAGGGGCCTACAGGCAAATGGCTTTATGTTCTTTTGGCTAAAACAGGAATGAAGTGGCAGAATCACACGACAGGTATATGGTTAGTGTATTTAGTTGGTGAAAATACACACCAATCATGCCCCACCGCAGCAGTTTCTGCACCTGTAATGCAGGGCTATCGGTTACATTCTTCAAGGTGTAGCGCCTTTCTGGACACCATTTTCCAAACCAGTTCCCTCGCATTAGCATACACTCACTGCCTCCCCCCATCTCAAGGTTCTTATGGACCTGTTGCTTTGCCTGTCCGAACGCATCGAGATAGCGGTTGAAAGCGTGATGCTTAATGCAAAGGGCTCTTCCTTCCTAGGTAATAAAGTCTCTGGTTTCAAGATGATGCCGGGGATAGTTTCCGATCAAGGCAATAATTTTAGTGGTTCATCTGACCTTATTGGTTCCAGATAGACTGGACTTTCTGAGAATTTGAAATTCTTTCCCTCCTTTTCCTTTTTTAAAAACAATTCCATATTCTTCTATCTTGCTCTGAATGTTCAGTAATGACCATGGTGCATCATCTAGTTATTACGGTCTCATGGCAAAGGCCGCCACTGGACTCACTTTATTCCCCTCATTGATTTCTGACCCTCGGACTTCTTCTGATCTTTCAAGCAAATAGAGACCAGCTTTTGTTGCTTGCGTGTCTTCTCACCAGTTTTATTCCCGAACAATCAATATGCCCTTTTGTTTTTCCAGGGTAAACCTGGTTTTCAGTGCAAAGAGACTTGGCTGCCTGGTTCAGTGTTTTTTTTATTATGGTGACAGAGTTGTAATCTATTGAGCCTCCCCTTTTCTTACCTGTGAAACAGGAGAGCTGCTATGGTGCTTTATGAGCGTTTAGTTACTTACAATCTGTATATCCTATGCTTTCTACAAGGAAGAGGAGGTTGATAGGACAATATGAGGTAAAAACCTTTGGTTTTCTAACAGATTTGTTTAAAATGAATGGCTTGTTTGTATTGGTTGTAACTTAGAGTAACTTACTTAGTATACCCCCATAATATAGAAAGGCTGAAGCTGTTTAAATATAATACAGAGTGTAGCTTCAGTTGCGCTGTATGATTCAATCCAGCACATTTAAATATATTTGATAGGGTTTCTCTAACAGTGGGCACAGCATCTTGTGGGAACAATTGTGAGGATGACATAGGACCTTTCGTTGTGTTCTGTTGTACACCGGGTCGCTGTGAGTTGGACCCTGTTTGATGGCACCTAACAACAACAGCTGATTTTCATTCTCTGTATCCAGTAACTAGTTCGCCATCTGGTTTTGGCTGCATTGGCTGTAGAGTCGGGAGGAAAACAAGCAGTGTCCATAGGACCTACTAGGTATAGGTAATTTTATTTTTTCTGTAGAGTCGGGAGGAAAACAAGCAGTGTCCACAGGACCTACTAGGTATAGGTAATTTTATTTTTTCACAGATGATAGCTATTAGGGTTGTTCATGTTTTTCTGATTTCTAGAACACTGAACCCGATTATTTTCCCTGTGCCAGGGCTGGAGTATGAACCACTACCTGCTCGGGCCACATGCTCTATGGGTTGTGTTCCATTTGTTTCTTGAAGAAGGTACTTGCTTGCTTTAGACAGCCAAGCATCCTCTAGTTTCTCAAGTTTCCTGCTTTTTCAATTGTATAGGAATGGGGTCTTTCCTGTTAATAGCGAGTCACTTCTCCCAAGGGCCTGCAAACGACAAAGGAAGGGATCCTTTCTTTCTGGATGTAGGTGGGGGAGAAAAGACCTGAGGCTGGAGTGGATTGAGGACGTCCAGAGTTGTGCAGAGCGCGACTTTGGTCTGGGCAGAAATTCACTTGTTCTGCGATTCCTATTTCCCGTGGTCAACCAGAAGAATGCAAACTTCGTAAACGGTTTATACAGACCTAGTCTAGATAAAACTGCTCTTTGAAAGGTGACAGATGCTTCTGTGAAAAGCAAAGAAACACGGCTCACTTCTTCAGGTTTGATGCTGAGAGGTATCAAGCAGCCTTGATTAGATGTAAACTGTGAAGGGGCTGTATTGACCGAGCTCAGGTTTTGCAAATGCCACCTGCATACACCTTGGCAACCCATTTTGTGGCTGACTGGTACGCAGCTCAGCAGGAGATGAATTGCTCTTTGGGAGCATTCCTCGCCATGCAAAAACACAGAAAGAACGTGCAGTCCTTTCACATGTTCCACAGTTAAAAGAATGGCGAACATGGGTGCCCTTGCTGACTTCTAGTTGTAAGAACCAAACAGCAAACCTGCCTTACAAACCACATTCCTAGAAAGCTGCTGTGCCCGCTCCGCCCCCCCGCCCCAGTTCAGTCTAAGCCCATAAGTCCAACATTAGCCCATGTGTCCGACACTGATCTACAAAGTCCTCCTCAAACTCACAAAACATACGCAATGACATCTTGGCAGGAAGTGACCTTGCAAGCTGAGGCAGAGAACTAGTGAAGGCAGCAGCTACACACCTGTCTGACCATCAGAGAGCAAGAGACAGAAAGGCTAGGCTCGCCCGAACCATTTATCTCTTTGCTCTTCCATTAAACTACAACCTTATTACATAAGCCCACATGGGTTTATCAGCCAGGTTGGCACAATAAACCTACCTATCGCAATGACAAAGTCCTGTTCCTCCCTGAAGGGCCACCTACCAGCTTTAGCAAACGCTAATGATGCCTGCCTGGATCAGTACCCCTAGGGCAGTTGCTAAGTGGTGGCTTTTTTTTAACTTTGCCCTTCTACTTATGAGGGTAAGTTAAAAAGCTGTCAAATCATAGAAACCTTTATTAAACAGGACTATGAAAATGTAAAGCTGTTGTTTCTTGACATATCCTTCAACCAGGCCTATAAAGTTCTGCAGGTGGTTTTTTCCATCTTGCTGACCTTTCTCCCAAAGAATTCTGGGCCACACCAAAACATCAGTCCTTTGAGCACTCACATTGTGACTATGTGATGACTCCTCTGTGGCCTAACACACTCCCCACCCCCCAGCTGTTTCCTCCTCTCATCTTTGAGTTTGCGCAACAAAAAAAGTCAAAAGGGGCAAGATTGGGCTGTAAGGGTGGAAGGGGTTGAAGCTTCCCAAGGACATTTTGTGTTGGAGAGCTTTGTTGGCCTTGAAAATGAGCAGATGCATTTGAAACCAAAAATCCTTAGTGCTCCTTTCCTGGCCTTTCTCTCATCTAAATGAGTTTTAATTTTTTTTAAAACTTCTTCCTAATAAGGCTCCATGATTGTCTTGGGTACTTTGAGAAAGTCAATCCAGAGTACCCCCTATGCTTCCCCCAAGCAGTCTCCATAACCTTTTCATCTGAACCCTGTGTCTTGAATTTGAAGGGCCCAACAGATACCCTTAGAAATTATTGTTTCAATTGGACCCTCCCTTTGAAGACACCCTAAGCAGGACTAAGACAAGTCTATTACTAAGAGAACGTGCCTGCAACCAGCCATCTTCCACTGATCGAAGAGACAAGGTTAAACATACTTTGTTTGGAATTAATTCTTGCATGTCTGACCTGGAACCTATTTGGCAATGCATATTTAACTTTTGTATATTATTATTTTATATTCTGCTAAAAGAATCAAGCTTTATTCATTATTTCTTCATTCACTTATTTATGTCTGTATAGGTTCCGATTTATAGTGCAATGCGATCTTTGATTCTCATACGGTTTCCTTTTTTGGTCAGTGTGACCTCTCCCAAAGTGTGGGGTTTTTAAAGCTATCTTCTTTTGACCTGTCACATCATTTCTTGTGTAGTTCCTGAAACAAAATGTTCCTGATTCTCTGTGTACTTATTACTGTGTCTCAGCCAGGAATCATTCCATCTGTTTTAGTGAATCATGGTTATTTACAAACTAAGAGCTAAGTGTTCAGGATGCTCCTAACTACTGGGATGTCTTACTTCTAAGTCTTCTTAGACAGACAGAGGCATGCGATTTACATGGAAAAAATCTGTGATCTTTTCATTCCATTTTCCATGCATTTTCTGTAAGCCTTTCACATGTATGGATATGCTGGTTGAGTTGTTAAAGTGTTCATGAAATGTCAACAGGTTGAACCACCCCATCTTGTCCATGGAAAAAGATGTGGCAGCCCGCTTCCCTAAATATTACAACCTATGGAGAGTTCTGCTGTAGCATCCTTATGAGTTAGACTCTATGTGATTTATATATGCACACACATGTGCATAATCACATACAGTTATACCACCATGTTTATCCATGAATTCTCATCAATACATCTAGTTCCAATCGAATACCTTGGCTTCTTTCTACCTTCTATGTTTGTAAGTACCTTTTCACAAAGTGAACAGCCTCACTTCCATTCTCTTTAAGCAGTAGTAGTTTTATTTCCTAAACTAAGTCATCTCGTGGTAGTCAGATGCCTTAACTCCGCTAGATACTCCTGGCTAAGCAGTGGAGTCCGGCCTGTTAATCAGGTCACCATCTAATGCTGTGTCCTGAGGGTGTGGCCTTCCTGTAAACGGGAGCCCTGGGGCCTACTCTCACTGTTGGCCACTTTGGGAGCTGCTGAAACCCTGTCATGTTTCGACTAACCTTAGATCCACATGACTTTGCACTCACAGGGCTGCGATCTTCCTGCGTTCTGCGTCATGGCGTGTGCTGAGTGAGTCTGAAGAGGGCCTTAGGGACTCGTGCTGGACTTGAGTTGGACTGGGCTGCTATGCTTCCTTGATATATAATTACTTCTTGATAGGAAGCTCTAATCCATCTATGCGTGTCGCTGGTTGTGTTTCTGTGGTCACCCAGGCCTAACCCGGTCCCCACCCTCCTGACAGCTGTGTCCTCCTGCCATCCGCCTTAGCCCTCTGTGAGGTTGAGTGTTGGCAGTTGCCGTGTCTCCTCCTTTGTA